TAAAACTGTGTGGTAAAAAGAGGCAAAATGCACAAAGCCACGTTCTTAAATTAAGTGAGCACTTGTGCAAATGAGTTTTTCACACTAGCAGAGAGGGACAAAACAAATATTAAAAACAAAGCAAAACAAAACAGAGCCAATAGAGAAGAAAAGGGATATGCCAGCGTTATATTTGTTTGTTACCCTGAAAACTCTGTGGCTTTTAGCCAAGTTAACTGTGGGTTTCCTTTCTAAACCCCGTAACAAAAGGACATGCAAGGGGATCTGATTATAAAGCATCGGTTTCAACTGCTAATGAGAGAAGTGCCAGATATTTCCTTAACGCTAATGTGGTTTCACAGTTTCGGTGTTACTGGACACTAACAGTAGGCAAAGGGAAAATTACCGGACTGCCATAAAAAGCAATGGTTGATGATTTTGTTCACTTTTATGACAGGAATGGAGCTTTGGTTTCACTCCTCAAATCATTTCTAGCTGGAATACTGGCATGCTGGTAACTCAACACTAGAATTCCTATGAAACCAGCAGTGCCAGGTTAGCATTCTCCATTTTGAGTTAACATTCATGGTAGTTTTAAGGCAGTTGTTTCCCCTGTGTTTGGGGGGAAAGGGATGAAGCAGGAAGTGTCTAAGAGAGCAGCTGTATAACTTCTTCTACAGACTTACTGGTCAATAATCAGCTTATTTAACTCTGTCCTGCAGTGATGAACAAAGACTCTCCCATTCAGTTTATTCCCAGTAGTGATACTTAGGTTTTGTTTTTTTTCCTTGAGATCAGTGGCAAAACCAGATCAGTGCAGCGTTTCTGAAACCATTTCTGCATGTGAAGGTCAGATTTCTAACGGTGAGCAGCAGCACAGCTTTTAGCATTGCATCGCAGGAAATGCAGCCAACAGGAACAAACGTTCCCGTGTTTCGCATCTCTCTCATCGCATTCTGTCTCTCAGTCTCTGTGGCTGGAAAGACAAGCTAACATTTCAAACTATGCAAGTCTGATGCTACCCTTCAGCCGACCAGAAGAGGAGGCTCCGACACTGAGCAATGGGCTGCTTCCCTCCAGAAAGATGTTGTGATTCTTCAGCAATCCCTTACTACGAGGGGAAAACTGTGTTTTAATTTCCCAGTGTAATGTCAGTGAATGAGCTTAAAACTGATAAATGTAGAGAAGTCTCAAACATTTGGGCATAGAGGAAAGCTATGAATCAGCTCGCTTTCCATTCTGAAATATTATTATGCCTTTCTTCATGAATATTCAATTTCTATGAAAGGTAATGCTCCTTCTTATGTATCAGAGAAGTGAGAAACTAATTTGTATCAGAAGACACAATACCAGTTTTTCAGGTTCTCTTCCTTTGACAGCCCACGTTCTTTTTATCTTATTACTCCAACCATACAGTCTTTATTCACACCTTTTGCACTTCTGGGAGAACAATTTTAATGCTATGCTAATAAATTTGACCTCCCAACATGCCCAAGAAGCAGTTGTTGCTTTAGACTTTCTATAGAAAGAAGGAAGCAGAGGCACCATGGCATTAAATGACTCTGCTCAGAGACATCCAACAAGTAACTTCTGGCTCAGCCAGCACTTCCAGCCTACGCTTTACTTAAAAAGTCAATCATCTCTTCATCTCTTTGCTCTTAGCTATATAGGTTCCCAAATTTGGCTGGAAACAAATCATAAGTATTACAAGATCCTCACTGGGACTCAAATAAGTCTATTCAGCACTGTTTCATAAACAGGACAACACACAGTCGTATTTTTAAAATTAAAGAGGCTGTCTTAATACCTTTATGCAAAGGGACAAATGTTAAAGCTATGCTTAGCCTTAAAAGCCTCAACTTGAACATTTTGAACTGCACTGAGCCGAATCTTCATGTGTTGTGCCCCCCTGAAAAGCTGCAGGAACTCACTGACTGATGATGGCTTAGTTTCAATCCTTGGACTCATGCTTACTCTTCTTGTTACTTGAATGCTTTCAGCATTAGTTATGCTCTTTCTTCCAGCTATGCCACACCTGTGCAAAAGACTTGACTAAATCTTTTGCTTAAATCAAAAAGGTTTGACTAAACTAAATGAAAATTGTTTCAGGTTTGAGATTAATGTCAGATAAGGAAATAGTGAAACTGCAAATCAGTCAAACTTTTATTTCCAATCATAGCCCTACAGCTCAGCTGACGCCATGCTTATGGTTGCAGACCTGTATCATCTATAACATTGATTAGCTCAAGAAAGTAAGGAGAGAATGCATGTTATTTGTGGAATGTAGAAAAATTTCTATCATGGCAAAGAACTCTGGGGTTTTTATACCTTCTTTACATCTTTGTAAAAAGAATGTATGCTTATTTTTCTAAAACACGAAAAGCCATGACCATAGCAGTCAAAGAAGAAATACATGCTTGAAAATTAGTGGAAGCTGCAATCAGATCATGTACAACAGAATTTATAGTTTAAACTAGACACTAAACTTGCACGTGCAGATTTTTTTAGCTAACATTGCCATGCCTTAACCTTGACTCAGAGAAAGGTGAGAAAAACTTCTCTCGATGTTTGAGGACAACATTGTTGTGACTGTCTTGTAGTGTAGTTTTTTGCTGTTTTTTGAAATGCATTCAAATTCATTTCATGAGAACCATCAGTCTAAACGCTGTCAAGCAGTGATGTGGAGGTCTATGGCCTGTTCTGTGGCCTATGTGCCACAGAATTCTTAATTTCTACAGTGATACTGTTACTAGAAATAATGAAGGGACAAGCAAAGAAACCTTGATTTTTAAAGTATATTTACTGTAACATACCTTATTGCAACATCCCCATACCACTGTTTGTATCAGTAAAGAACTTTTATTCTGGATTTTGATACTTCTCCAATGGTTCAATACCTTCATTCTCTTCCAAACCACCATTAGAGAAGATTTTTTTCTTCAGTTAAAAGTTACTGTTGCCTACTAGTGTAACTAGTGACACAAATGTCACTCCTCTTGACCTGCAAAGGGCCCCCCACTCCAGCACTCTACTGCTGCCTCTTGCCCCTGGGCCAAGGGCCCTACACCTAAGATAACCTTTCTGAATATTGCTAGATGCCCTGTTTCCCACCATACCTTCTCTTAGATGCCACCCTTTACCTCCAGAAAGGTTCCAGTAAATCTCTTTTCCAGCTGCAAGTACTGCCTGTAGCCCACTCAGAATAGGCTGCCTCCAGCAGCTCCTATAAACCTTTCCTAAGCACCGATGCACAGAATGCTCAAGTGTGAGACAACATGCTCCTGAAAGAGAGTCGAGTCCTTTGATCCTCATCTTGCTCTGAAGGGTTAAAATAGGAAATGTAAAGTGACTTTATAAAAATGCCTTTGGCATGAAAGCTAAGACCTTTAAAAAAACCTGCGGTGCATGGAGTTCACTTTTCTATAGGGTGGATAGTTAAGGGAGAAAAACAGCTTTGAATACCTATGGCAGTAATTTTAAAATTGACACTTGCCAGGGAAGAAATGCACCAACACCATCATGGAAATCTGATGTAGAAAAAGCTTTTATGTGCCTGTGGTGGAAGTAGGCAAATTTGTCATACCTGCACAGGTGCTCTTGAGGGACCCAAAAGATAGTTGTCAGTCTTGTGTTGGTGAATAACTGCGAAGAGACATGTCTACTTGCTGCCTTGAAAACTAACAGCATTCTGTGTAGTTCTGGGGGAAAATAAGTACTCTCTCCCCCTTCCTGTTCCTGTTACTTTCTGGTGCAGTCAAACACCAGTCTAACTAAATCATCCACCATTTTTGTTCTAGGAATTTCACAGTACTGTTTGGTGACTCTTCCAATAACTTTCTCCAATATAACTTTCATAAAATCATGATATAAGCCGACACAACTCTGAGCAAAGTAACTTCTTAATTTCATCTTCCCTTGCCAAAAAGTTGACAAGATCCAGAGCAAAATAACATTATTTCCGTCTCAACTAATATATGGCCAGACAGGTTCATTTAAAATTTGACAAAATAAGATCGAATCAAATTATTCTCCCCAAGTGCATTGTCTTCTGTTAGTTTGAACATATCTGCAGCAGTTACAGGGATGAGGTTACCTTTTGAGCTCTGAATTTGGAGAGCATGGTGTTTATAAAAATTACTTAAAATTGATCTGTGGACGTCAGAACTGCCAAAACCAATAGGACATCACCTAATTCCCCATGTATTTTGATCTTCGGTGTTTATTTATACTGCTAGGCATGAAACTGGCACTCACAGAAGGGGTAAAGCTGCAGCAATGGAGATTTTGCCTCCTCTCCATTTATCTAATCAAATGCATGAGCAATACAAATGTCCTATCCAGTGCTAGAGCCTAAGGATAGATACCGTCTTTTAGGTACCCTTGTTCCTCAGTGCCTCCAAAGATACAGATGATGAGTTGCCAGGTGCAGCCAATGAATGCTGTTTATTCTAACATGAACATTTATTTTATGGAAGATGATGAGCTTTGACAACAGAAACCAAGCCATCCATTTCCTCTGCCACTTGCTGTTATTCATTATATTGACTTACCCTCTTTATTTTTTACTATCATGTCTTTTGAGTACTGTGACAAGAATGCAATACGATGCAAGCCTTCAAATGCCCTAATGTCCTCTTTCCAAATCAGTGTCTTTTCAGCTGTAATCAGGATTTGGACACACTGAGGTACAGTCTAATGGTTTTTCCCCAAGAATCTACAATAGCAAATATATATTTTGAGAAGCTTTGGTAGCCTCTTGCAGCCTAGATGAAAACAAACTGCTCAGAATGGGCTAGACCAGATCATGTCAGAGGATAGCTGGATGCTTTGGTTCCTCTAATAAAAAAATTAACAAAATACAGATCCCTAATACATTGCATTGTGACAGTTTTACTGCCCGTGCATTCGATCAATGTTTACTTATTTGGGGTAGGCAAAAGCTATTTCCTGTAGCAGGTATTTGCCTTCACTGTGGTAGATACAAATTATATTAACTTTGGCTGAGGAGAAATGTCACATACCTTCTGGTGCGGAATAACAGCCCTGGGAGAGTCAATTCTGGGTGCTGTGGTTGAAACTGGCACTGGACGTTTAGATCTGGGAACAAAAAAAAAACCAAACCCAACAAAAGGAAAAAAGATTAGCAATCTGGAGTCCTATTTTTCAGCTCTAATTTCATGAAAAAATGCTGCTTCACCAGGAGTGAAAGCTAAGCATAGCCTAGCTTTTTTCTTGTCATCATCATGCTTTTTCTACATCCTCATTTACAAAGGTCTTAACTGTGAGAAAAAGTTTGATACAGTTTTTCTGAATGATGAAAAGCCACCAGTTACAGAAGCATCCTCTGACTTGGGAGATCATCCATTTTCCAGTACCTTGTGACAAACTGCATTTTCGTAGATGCCAGTCAGACAGAACTAGATAAATTCAGGTTTGGGCAGCAGTCTGGAAAAAGGGACTTAGAAGTATCTTAAAATGCAGAGACTAAACTATGGTACTGAGGCGTCTCAAGATCAAGTCCTCAAAAGATTACTAGTTAATAGCTTAAACTGTATAGCAACTGCTATAACTTAAACCTCTCTGCAGGAAGAAACATGGGCTTCATTTCAGGCAATTTAGTTTCAAAAGGAGCAGATCACTACTGAATTAACCACGCTCCACTCCAAATGCCTGACTTTCACCTGTGTTGGACAAATACACATATGTGATCATTTAAAAACCAAATATAAAGCCCACAAAAATGCTTTGAAAACACAGTTTGCCCTTTCACCCACCGTGACAAATGCTAACTGAAGCATTCTAAGATGCTCAGGTGTGAAGATATATTTGTGGGAGGTGTTGCAAGAACCTGCATAGTGCCGAACATCCCCCTGAAATTTTCCCAGTACCCATGGGATCACCAGAGAAAATGGAACAAAAAAATGTAAGAGCAGGTAAAAGAATCAGAATTATATAAGTAATAGCCTATTGGCAACCTACGGATCAGGATTATGCCTGGAATTCTCGTCTTTAAAAACTACATTTCAAAATTAGGACAGGTACAAAAATGAAATAAAAATACACCATAACACATACAAATTACAACCATACAAATCAAGCAGAAGTGACCGAGACATTTGGAATTGTTTGCTTTAGAGAGGAGACAAATAAGGGAAGGCATTACAGAGGCCTAGAAAATAATGAATAGTAGAAAAAGGGAAGTAAAGCTACGTTCCTGGACATTAAGTGAAATTGAAAAGACAACACATACAAAATTGATAAAAGCAAACATTTGTTCCTAGAGTACTTGATTAACCTGAGGTAAAATTCATTGTCACAAGACATCATTGAGACTACAAAAATAGCAGGATATCAGAAAGGATTACATATTTATATTTAAAACAAAAACCCCAACAGCTGCTTTAGATTGGATAAAAAAAAAATAAGTAACCGTACAGATTCTCATTTCTCATGGCACAACTTAAAAGACTGATAGTGGAAGGCCTTCTGTGTTGGGTTCATTATTTCCTTACTGAGGGCTGTGTTGCACTTCCCTCTGAAGTGCCTACCAGTGGCATCTATCAGAGACAGAAAGCCGGACAAAAAACTGGGCTCATCCGCAGTGGCAGTCCCTGCACTAATACCTACCTTCACACTGAGCTGTGTATTTAGCTCTAGTTGCCACATATAAAATATTTCCGTAAGCAGGAGTAAACAAATTAAAAAAAAACCTAGGAAAAAGGAGTAATCCTTACAGGAACTGGAAGACTTTCATAAGGAAATTATGCCACTTCGAGAGCTGAAAACAAAGACGATGTAATAGATGCCTAACTGACAACGAGATACTATGAAAATGAGCACCATTTGAGGAGACAATGAAAACTGGCATTTTGTTAAACAATAGGTAATTAAACGCTGAAATACATGACATAAAGTATTCCTGAAACAAGAGGCTAGAAAATTGTATAAGGCACTAACGTTGACACGCACAGTTGGAATATATCACAATATGCTCCCAAAGATATAATTATCTGAGAAATATATACCTTCAAGTTCTAAGAACAAGAGCTAATCACTAACTGCCTAGAATAAACTTTCCTCAGGACAGTTACTAACTGATTTTTCCCTCAGAAGTGAGAACCCTTCTTCCAACCATTTTAGCTCAAAAAGAGAAACAATAAATCACATTCATGCGACATTCACACGTATCATGAAAGTCAGCAAAAAAAGAGAAAGAAAAAAAAAAAAGCAGCCGCAGCCCAGAGTTGCTGAAAATTGTCTGTGACAATTTATGAGCAGACAAAGATTTACGGGGAGATTCTGATCCTCCTTCCACTGGTGTCACTTCTGGGTACAGCCAGTTATTTCTGTGAAGTTACGTGGGGGACCCGGGCATACTCAAGAGCAGAGCAGGGCAGAGCAGACACTGTGTCCCCTCTGCTCTGCTCACCGATCGTGAATTTGAGAGCCAAAGCTGCTCAGCACCGTAAATGTCGTTTGCCACGTACAGAGGTATAGCAAACAACCACACACTGCATGTTTGATGCATAACTGGAAAATATTTGTAGTGCAAAGGAATTTATTTACCAGACTACTCTATCACTTCTGTTGTTTATTGTTCGTCTTTTTCCCCTCACTCAGCTCCTGACCACCAAAGATGATGTTGAAAAGCTCTACTTCTTCCAGGTTACTGATACGCTACATCTGTCATTCACAGTGCTATCCAACCAAGATTTTTATTTCACGCTGACTTCGAGGTTTCAAGATGTTACTTTAAAACAATGATGTTCCTACATAACTCTGCCCTGTATGTTTATAGCTTTGGTATTTAAAAACAGAATGGTGAGGCTTGCTAGATTTAGCAGAGGCTTGCACCAGAGAAAAGGACAGAAGAGATGAAGTCAATTTGTGGAATGAAAGTGTATGCAACTTACAGAATAAAGTGATTATTTACATAAAAGCCATTACTCCTCAGGGAAAAACATCTGCAAGCTCAGGACATTTTTTTTCCCCTCCCTCTTTTGCTAGATGAATCAAAGCCTGCTGCAACACAAGTTTGCTTTTCAAGTGATGATGGTGTTGTTGCAAATCTGTGTGTCCAGGTTTACATTTTAATCCATTGATTGCAAAATTATTTTATTGCAAACACTCAGGGAGTGTACTTGCTTAGTAGGGCTATAAGGAGGATGAAAGTCCAAATTTCACAAATACACTGATAATTTCAGATCTATGTTGAAATGTACCATCAAGATTGTTTTTCTGAAGCAATTACTTTGATTTCTGCTTTTAGACATTTTGTTCTACATTTTCAAAGTTAAAAATGGAAACAAAAACCTCATTTCAAAATGAAAACTCAAAAGAGTTTTAATGATGACCAAATACATCATTCTGGTATTTTTTTAATTCTTTAATTCTCGTTTCCACAGATACACCTCCCCTCTCCCTCAGTACTGGTTCTCTCTCTTAATGAAGTTCAAAAACAGGATGGATGTAGTTTTACAAAGCAGCTCAATTTTGATAGCACTGCTGATATGGCTGTCAAAATTTCTACTTGTTCTCACCTACCTAAATATATCTTTAATTGAAGAGCACTTGACTTCAGTGCTGGTATCTTTGCACTCCCAACAAAGGTTCCTTAGGAGTCATCCGCATTAAGAGGAGCTGCCTACCTAAGGAAGTTCTGCAATGCTTAACATGTTCAGCTTAACATGTGTCCTCAGGGGAGCGCAACCCTGTACTTGCAGAGAAGTGACATGATCTAACAGATAATAGCTCTTTTTCATTTTCATGTGGCTTTTTTATATTTCATATCTTCACCAGTCAGTGTCTATCTTCCTTTTCTAATTCTCAGGATGCAGCTAAAAACCAACCTTTCTTTTCTTACATAAGCTTTTGCTTTCATTTTATTATATGTGAGCACTTATTTGTACTTTTTTGAGCATCTTAATAATTTTGTCTTAATATCTCAACCACTAGAAAATGAAAAAGAGTTAAGTGCATGGAAAGGTAATAAAACAGATTAGATTAGGGTTAGAAATGCTTAGAAAACATTTTACATACTTTACTTATCACCTAATTAAAATGGAGTCGTTCTGAAGTGGAGTGGGTGAGCACATCGCAGGCTGCAAAAGAACAGAGCATGCAGAATTGGGCTTCTGATGATGTATTTGTTTTAATGCAATAATATTCCTGACAATTTAGTGGGAGTGATGGGGAGGGAGGGAAGAGATGTAAAAGGGACAGACTAAATTACTCATGGTTATTAATTTGAGGTGTCCATTTAATAAGTGCTAAGATCAGTAATGTGTCAGTTAAATCTTCAGCTGAACAGTGAAGTAAGTAGCCAAACAGAAGCTGCTTCTTCTAAGTCTTGTGCAGAAAATCTTAAGTCTTATGATACTATGGTTTAACTCTCTAAGCCCTGCCCGGGACATCAGCGAACAGTCTTAGTGACTCCAGTGAGAATCACACAGACAAAACCCTGAACATTTCACAGTACTTCAGATATAACTGCGATCACTTTGAGCTAGGATAAGATCTACTTTCCTTCTCAGGATATCATCTGTGCCTGCAATAAAATTGAGAAATATTTCCATCAGCAGTTTTGTACTCTCTATACCAACAGTGAATGCAAATATCAGCAAGTGGCTGGATGGCTGGTTTGTTAACCATTTCCCTGCATTGTGCCGCACTCAGATTGCAAGAGAGGCAATCACGCTTTCCAGCCCCAGTGTTCATGCCCACAGCAATACATGGACAAAAACTTCTTATGCACAAATGGCACCAACCTAAAGGGAAGCTACTATCAAAAAAAAAAAAAAATCTATGAAGGAGAATTTGGAAGTATGTAATACCTATTTTCCTTTAGAAGGGATCTGAGTCAGGGGTAGCCCCAAACATTATGGGATAGAAAGGGAAAGAAAAAGGAAAGAAGCTGGGAAGCGAAGGGAACTGGAGAGAGTATGCATAAAGCTGAGGTTTTTGAAAAGGAGTACGTATTAAAAAATGTTGGAGAAGCAAATTCCACTCTCCTGGTCTCCTTCTGACCCTTTCTACTTCTGTGGCATCTGCACAGTGCTTGTTGCATCTTCTTTACTCTTCCCCTCCCTCCTGCTGTG